TAAACTGTGGTTGTGTCCTTAGACAAGACACTTCACCCACAATGCCTAGAATGAGTCTGGTGTCTGTGTGAATGGTTGGTGGTCAGGGGGGCCGATGGAATTAGAAAAACAAAAACGCACACCAAGTTCTTCTCATGAGGTGCATGTGCTGGAGCAGAAATTAAATGTGGAAAATACACAGCACACTCGGATAGATGTCCAAAAGATCTAGTATTTATTAACGTTTCGGCCTTAGCCTTCGTCAGATCATTTTTATCTTGTTCATTTGGATCACAATATACAAAATGGTGCCAACCCAGGTGCTATAAGCCCCTTCTAACGAGTGGGAGGTCCCAGTGTGGTGATACCCAGTGAATTCAGCCAGTCTAAAATCAAAAAGCAGAATTAATACATAGAATACTTTTGGATCCATCACTTAAAGACTTTAGCTCCTTATGGACTAAATGTGGACTTTGACCTCAGATGTTTCTTATGATTATCTGTATACATTTTATAAGTTGATTTCTTCTATGTATTAAAGGAATAGTTCACCGTTTTTACATACTGACATATGTTCTTACCTTACCTTAGACTAGTTAATACGTACCTGTCTGGTCTTAGTCCGTGCGCTCTGTCATGCAAACGGAGCAAAAACGGGAGCACAACCGCAGCCTCCTCTGTATATTTTGTAGCACCAAAAGGTAGCTCCCGCTAGAAGCTACCAAACTCTTCCAAGTGTTCCCTATTAAATGTATATAGTTACGTGACGTGTTACACTGCAAAGTATAGTAACACAGAAATGTAACAGTCGATTTTCTCAGCGGATAAAACGGGTACTATATTGTGAGGCGTAGTAATCTGAGGGGCGCTACGTCCGCGCACTAACTTCTCTCCGGAGACTTCTCTCTCGCTCACTTCCGTCAATAGAAGCAGCGTGACTTGTAGTACACACAGTAGCAGCGAGAGAGAAGTCTCCGGAGAGAAGTTAGTGCGCGGACGTAGCGCTCCTAACTTCTCTGCGCACTAACTTCTCTCCGGAGACTTCTCTCTCGCTGCTACTGTGTGTATTACAAGTCACGCTGCTTCTATTGACGGAAGTGAGCGAGAGAGAAGTCTCCGGAGAGAAGTTAGTGCGCGGACGTAGCGCCCCTCAGATTACTACGCCTCACAATATAGTACCCGTTTTATCCGCTGAGAAAATCGACAGTTACATTTCTGTGTTACTATACTTTGCAGTGTAACACGTCACGTAACTATATACATTTAATAGGGAACACTTGGAAGAGTTTGGTAGCTTCTAGCGGGAGCTACCTTTTGGTCCTACACAATATACAGAGGAGGCTGCATTTGTGCTCCCGTTTTTGCTCCGTTTGCATGACAGAGCGCACGGACTAAGACCAGACAGGTACGTATTAACTAGTCTAAGGTAAGGTAAGAACATATGTCAGTATGTAAAAACGGTGAACTATTCCTTTAATTCTGCTTTTTGATTTTAGACTGGCTGAATTCACTGGGTGTCACCACACTGGGACCTCCCACTCGTTAGAAGGGGCTTATAGCACCTGGGTTGGCACCATTTTGTATATTGTGATCCAAATGAACAAGATAAAAATGATCTGACGAAGGGGGGCCGATGGCACAGACTGGTTGCCTCGCTTCTGTCAGTGTGCCCCAGGGCAGATGTGGCTACAGTATAGTTTATCACCACCGTGTATGGAGTGAATGAATAATGACATGTGAGACGTCTTTGAGTGTCCTGAAAAGCACAGTATAAAACCAAAGCATGATTATTATTATCCTTGTTATAATTACTATTATTATTATGTTGTGACACTATCTGAGAAACAGAGCTGAGTATTTCAATAAAAAGTCCAGTAATGCCACACGCTTGAATGCACCAGAATAAAAAAAGTGGTCCCTCTGTGATGGCCACTGCATTTGTTGACACTCCCAAGTTCAGAAGTTTGTTTTGGATTCACACCAGCACTGAGGATATGATCAGATATGAAGTGAAGTCAGCTCCAGAAAATATGACAAATGCCTTCGGGAAGATAACCAGTGTAGTGTGAATTCAATCACTTTGGCAACCGACTACTAATGACACAGGGGGGAACTTTTCCAAGCAGCGGAGATGGGCAATATTGCTTTCAGCGGGGGCTACGAACTGGCAAATTGGAACAAAATCAAGGGCTGGGGCAGATAAATGCGTGATGAGAAAGACACATTACACAAACCCCAAAAATGACAGAGACAGAAGACTTTTAGGCTGTCTGAAGTTACCGAAACTACGCAACATTTCCAGAGTCGTAAATCTAAGGTTAGAATTATGACTTTTTGCAAGAAAAATGTATTGTTGTACGAGTTGATCTGGACCTTGAGTCGACAATAAAGTTATCTACAGTATCTATCTATCTATCTATCTCTGTGTGTAATATTAACTAGTGCCCACACTTTAAAGCAGTACCGTGTTAAAGCTGGGGTAACTAACTTTTCTGTTTCATAAATACAAATATGTTTGTCCCAGTAGAAAGAATCATGTGAAAGTAAAATGTTGTGAACAAATCCGACCAGAAGATGCTGCCTTTGTTATATATATAGAAAAAGTCACTGTGAGTCACTATTTTATGCTTTGGGCAAAAATAAGAGAATCTGAGCCAGAGTGGTTCTCTCTTTTACACCTTTCTGTCTGAAAAAAGGTGATCTGAAGATTCGACTGAGGCTAAATGTTGAAAACAGAGTGAACCAAACAGTGTTGAGAGCAAGGAATGAGTTACATGAATTTCATTACTTTGAATTTACTGTGGTTTGGAAGTTACGTAGCCCAGCTTTAAGGGATTTTTTTTCATGAAAATGCATAATTGTAAAATTAAAACGTTTTTTCAATTCTTTTAAACATGCTCATGATCAGAAAGGAGCAGATAAAAGAATACATGTATTGAATTATTCTAACTCCTCTTTTACGATACAGATTTAAATGGTTTTGCCGCTGATTCCTCTGCCTTCTTTATCAGCACATTTACAAAATATATATATATAGAGAGTATATATACATTTCTTATTAACATAATTTAATATTAACACATACACACAATCACTTTTGTATACTTTGAATTGTTTCCTTTTATATGTCTTTTTGAATTCAGAAATAGTTTTACAGTCTTTCTCTTGATAATTCCACAATTTCACTCCAGCCACAGAAAAACTGCTTCAAAGTTGTTTGTGCTATTGGACGTTTGAAGTCACATCTCCTTCTAAGATCTTGATTTTCTGGTGTAAACACAAATACATGTTGGGTTCTTTCACAGATTCGCAGAATGATCAAATATGTACGTCTTTACCAGCTGGGGAATGATATTTAAAACAAAAGAATAAATATAATCAAGAGGAGAAAAAAGCAGGACAGTGAATCCCATGATTTTCACAACATAAGGATGTGGCTGACATTCAAAATGAGGCAGTAACCATGGCGACACTAGATCCACAAGGAGCGTGGAGAAAAAGAAAAAAAAGAAAAACTGGCCAAACAGAATGAATCAAAGCGTGAATTGGTGTGTGGCACTGGTAACGAGATGAGGACGGATGTTTACAGGGGTGTAACGTGTTGACAGGCGGCGGCAGCGAGGCCGAATCCTTCCACGCTCTAAACAAGCTAGTGCAGCTACCATCTGCGCACGCTACGCATTAGCATAAATGTGAATGAAGAGGTGAACGTGTCTGTATTCACCGCACGTGCCTCCTGAACTGCAGTCAGGCTGTAGTACGAGTATGGAACTAGATCAAAATGACAAAGCACTTGGTCTTGAATGTTTAAGATTAAGATTATTTTTGTACAAGCAACAAATGAGGGTATTTTGTGAATTAGACGATGTTGATAATGAAGATACAGTTTATTGGATTCTATAAAACTGCATGCAGAGGTGGGTGTGTATGCGACTCTGCATGAAGGACGTACACTTTTAATCGAGGTAGTTTGAATAGTTCCTGTTGTCATTTTAATTTGAAAAAAGAAAAATATGTTTGAGAATAAATGGTGTCACACAACCACTAACAATGACTGAATGTTGTCATTGACTGCCAGGCGTTTTTAATGATTTAGCTGATTTTCAAGACCCACAGAATATTATATACTATGACTATGTGAAATATGAAACCCGATTCTGAAAGACCGGATTGTCTTCTTTCATCAGCAAAAAAAAGTTTGTTTCTAGCTAGTTTGGTTCTCCTGTAACCCCAGGCCGAATAGAAAGAAAATAATCAGTCTCAAATACGTCCATGGCAGTAGTCTAGTGTAGCGTAAGTGTAATTTAGCATAAAATAGAATCTAAACATATCACTAAACATATAATAATAGTTTTTAAGCATTACAGATCTCAGTTTGAAGTAGTTCTTGAAATAATAATGTCATAATCTAGTGTACACTGGGGTGGTCTTGCACTGTTTTTCCAATGTGGTTTTACTGCAATTGACAAGTAAATTCTTTGCCGTTTGCAGTAAAACCTGATAATAGCAGCGACTACTGTTGGATCAACAAAGCAATGTGTTCCTTGTGTGTTCTCCACAGGTGTATACGGCACGCCATTACAACGGCAAAAGGTTATGGAAGCAATTCTCTACATTTTAATAATAATCACACAATGTTAATTCCCAAATGTGTTTGAGAAGAGTAGACGAGTGAATATCCGAGTAAAAGACTTACATACAAACATTCAACTCAATGTAAAACCAAGCCCAGGGAAACGCAGTTAGAATCCGCTTTCCACAGTGACAAAAGTGCATTTGTTTTTCTTTTTGTGTGGGATAAACAAAGAAAATGATACAAGCTTCCAGCCAAGACCAGCGATAGTTTTCATGCAAATCTAACATTTAGGACTGAGCCCCCGCTTCCATTTGCATACTGACAGTTTCTAAGTGAATTCATTTGTCACTGTTTAGCCCCTTTGACACGGCTGGCATAAAGATCACTGTGTTGTCTCTGCATAAACCTGCGTGGGGCTGGAAAAGTGCTGGTGTCAGGGGCCTACCTCGGAGGTGTTGACGCGGCCCTCTTGGAAGGAGCAGTCGCTGGCGTCCTGGGTGCACATGTGCCGATATTTGCACCAATGACACGGGAAGTTGCCGTTTACACAGGAGAGGCATCTGCAACATAAAACATGGATTAGCATTGGATTAGCATTAGCATTGTTCAGGCTTTTTGTCATGTGAAATAATGCAATCAACAACGCTTTGAAATGAAAGTTGAGCGATAGGAGGCCACTCAGATACAAGGTGTGTGCATGAGCTAGCTTAGAAAAGTAGTTTGAATCAAGGAAGTTTTTATCAAGATCAAAGAAACATAACAATATCTACTATCATTAGATTGTGATGACTTGGATCAGGCATGTCAAACTCAGGCCCAAGGGCAAAGTCCCGGTCCACAAGACCCTTTTTAGTGGCCCCTGAAATGATTCTCACTATTACATCAACTTGAAGCATATGATGGAATTGGGAAACTGTGGCATGTTATACTTGATTTCAAATAAACCATAACATCAGGAAAACAACAATATGATTTAATCTGTTCTCAAATATTAACAAGCATGTATTTTGAAAAGATAGGGAAAATATTTGTTTATTTAAGATCAAAGTCTTCAAATACATTTTTTCTTGATATTTGGCCCATTTTGGTTCAATCTAAACCTACCAGAAAATAATATACACACTCATGTCAGATTGGCCCCAAACAGCTCTTGTGTTTTTAAATTTGGCCCCCGACCAAAAAAGAGTTTGACACCACTGACATAGATTATAACTATTTAAGTCATTAGAATATCATTTTAAAGAATTTTGACAACGGTACTTGAAAATCCATTATGGCTTCATCTAAGTTTTCCATAAAACTAAAAAAAGCCTCATGAACGTACGCTCTCATAACTTCACATGATATTTACCGGACTGGCATGTTCTCTATAATCTACATACAGTACATACATGCACATGTAGCTAAACAATTACGTTAAATATAATAGACAAATATACCATTGTCGAGCAGCTCTTGTCACGAGAGTGCCGTAATGACAGACTAATCAGTTCACTTCAAAGTGAGTCAGCCCTCCTCCCACAGAGCGGCCCACTGCCACTACAGAACACAGCACTCATACATATTCCCAATGGCACACTGCATTTCCATACCATATTTAAGCTCAGAAATCACATTTGAGGCTAATGTCAGAAGAATAAAACTCACTCGTTTAAGGATAATACACCAGGAAAGACATTTAATTCAATTCAATTTAGTCACATTTATTTTTGTATAGCCCTAAATTGCATGCAGATGTCTTGGAGGACTTTATAAAAATTTGTATTTGCCAACAAGAGATCATTTCAAGCTCAAAAGTGCAAAAGTTTAGGTATCCATACACAAGGAAACTCAAAGTAAGTACGTAAGTAAGTAATGTTTATTTATAGAGCGCATTTTTATACACGCCAAGGTCATCCAAAGCGCTTTACAATGTTCAGAGTTCAGATATCGTTCAAATCATCCACACACGGTGATGACGGAAGCGAGTCGCCGAACACACTGGACCATCAAAGCCCCAACCAACACCATCCATTCACTCTCTCATTACATTCAGACCTATTGTGCATGTTTTTAGTGGTAGGGGAAACCGGAGCACATGGAGGAAACCTATGCAGACACGGGGAGAACATGTAAACTCCACTCAGAAAGGCCCTGTTCTAGCCAACTCAGCCATCGTGCCGAACAAAACAAGACAGAGACAGTAAAACAAGGAGTTATAATCATAAATAGATACTGTAGGTACATATATAGATACTGTAGGAGAAATTCAGGTGTCCAGTAGCAGCAAAAAATTAAAAAAAATGTCATACATTCAAAATAGAAAAGATAAAACCCCTCAGTTGTGTGCACCGCTAACAAGAACTGTTTTAACCATTGTCAGAGAAGAAGCCTCACATTTGCCGAGAGACTATTCCAGATTTTAGATGCTTGAATCTGAAATGCAGCCTTCCCATGTTTACAAAGGTCCCTACATATCCTTAAAGTCCCAGATCTTCACTGTCATTAAACCCTTCTGCACCGACAAAGACCATTTCAAGGACCCAGTACAAAAAAAAAAACATTTACACATACAGCCCGGAACTGAAATGTGTTTGGAAGTTTGGGTCCTGTATTTTCTTTGCCATGTGTACTGTAATCCAACTCAATTACTATAAGAGGTAAATCCAGCTCAAGTGCATCTCAAGTCTACTCCTGTACAATCTTCCCTTTCAAATTGTCTTTTAATCCCTGCTCTGCCTTCATCCTGTTGTCCTTGGGTTATTCCGGTTTGAGGGTAAACTCTTCAACAGCCTGTTCCAATAATGTTTTGCCCCATAGTGATCTACTGGAGTGTTTCTAATCAATGCCAGTGGATTTCCGCGGGGAGCCGGTGGACTTAGGGTTATGCTAACAGTCTGATGTTTGTTAGTAAAGCTACCCAGCCAGTTCCTTTCTCACTATTAACCCCAGGGTGTATCGATTCCAAGTAGCAGCAGTGTGCGACTCCTCCGTGCCCGTGCCGCACACAATAGCCTATAAGAACTTGTCCAAAGTAGCGGTGGCGGTGTTGACGTGTTGCCGTGGTCCTGGGGGTCACCTGAGCAGCGGGGACTTGTCTGACAGTGGAGATGTCAATGCACGACCAGTGGTAAGTGACTGCTGCAATGTGGTCAATACAATCCCCTGCTATTTAACCAGGCCCACAAGCACAACCGGGGTCGAGCGGCTTTTCATCTTCCCCTGGCTTTTGTTTCAGAACACGGCCGATCGATGGAACAAAGTTATGCATGGGCAGGCAGCAAGAGCAGAGCTATACTGTTTGGTAAATGAGAGATTTTGGCCAGTGTGTGATGTTATGAATAGATATGCAGAATTAAGTTGTTTGGTCTTCAATAAGATCGCCAACAGAGAAGAGTGTTTCATCTAAAACATGTGAGGAATCTATTGCGTGGAAAAGATGCATCACCAAAACAAAATGGCAATTTAGGAGATTGCTTTGTGTGTTCAATCAATCCCATCAACATCCTTCTTCACAAATCTAACAATTAGTCATAGAATATAAATGATCCAAATGGCTTCAACCAAATGTCTTAAAGCAGTGGTCTCCAACCTTTTATCCATCAGCTACTTGTTATAGAGCCCATACTGTATATTAGACATGCCTTGGATTTCTTTATATAACAATTCAATATACACATGTTAGTTTAAGTTGAATATTAACAATATTCTTTAGACATGGAAATATACCATAATAAATATTGAATCTGAACTCTTTGGGAAGTTACTCGTAAGATGTTGGCAATCTCCCGAGCTATAGGTTGGAGACTTCTGTATTAAAACATTAAGTACATTTCTTGGAGGAAGATCACTTGCAATATCTTTTAGAAATAGCGTTAAACATTGAACTAGGATCCTTGGATCTATGCAGGCAGGAGGATATTAACAGATGTTGTTCTGGGCACTTAAAACTCTTCACCTTCAATGTATTTTATTTCAGAAGCCAGATGCCAATGCGTTGGAGTATGCCAATATCAGAGGATACAGATCTGTGCCAAACACCACTTACACTCATACCAACCTCTCTTGCACGCCGTACTAGACTCGGCCAAAGGGTGTTGCCCCATTACAGCACTTGGGCTTTTCTGCACTCTAAAAAATCCAGATCTAACTGGTCCAACACCGGTAAGATTCTAACATCCAATGAAAACCTGCGGCCATATGCAATAGTCGCATTTATAGTACATTTCCAATCGCGCTGCCGTTATAAATGACATATAAGAAGAATTGCACTTTTCGTAATTCCCATTCCAGCTTCTCTTTATGGACTCTGATTGCGGTTCACCTAGAGGGCGCCGGAAGCACCTGCAGAGTCATTCCTGGTAAATGTGTTCATAGCCTTTGGTGTTTTAGTGCTGCTATTAACACTGGACCCAAGTCTGCAGTTCAGAATGATCTGTCTTAGGAGATATAAAGAGTTTCTGGCCCTATCTATTAATAGCCACCTTTGTGTTCCATCCAATAAACCTGCGAGCAATAACACAGATATGCATACATCATTAAGTTATACCGTGCCCCAGTTAAGTACGTTTCCTCTTTAGGGGACTAGCTATATTGTCTCTGAGAGGATTCAAAGTGCAGTGTGTAAATATCAACTCTCGCTTTCATTAAGTTAATTAGGAATGGCCGGTTTTATATATAAATAAATACAGTGAGGCATCAGAAGGTTGTTAATTAAAACCTCAGCATATCTTTCAGGCAATATTTAATACAGAGTAGAAGTTATAAAAATGCTTCCTAAAAAAACCCCTTCCTAGGCCTATTGAGTTTCATGGGGAGCATTCCATTGGGGTAAATAGCAATAAATGTGACCACCATTGAATTAAATGCATTTGCTGGTCAACTGTTACAACCAGTCAAGTGGAAAATTGCCCAATAAAACAGTCCATCTCTGGTTCCTACAGTATTCGGGTAATTGAAATAACATGGCTGTTGCTCTACTGGACCAACAAAAAGCTCATGTTATTGTGGAATTCAATCTGTTGGCTTGTCTGGTTTTACACAGTTTCCTCAGCTTTCTGAACATTTCGCCAAAGGATTCAATACAGGTGTAGCGCGGAAACATTTTTTGCTAACCTTATTAATGTTCACTGTGCATAGACTACTTTGTTGCAGATGTCCTATTTGATTGGTTACCCTTACGATGGGGTTTATTGCCTGTTTGTCTCCAGGGAGATGCTATTGATTTGCCCAGACCAAGCCTTCTTGCATTTATCAGTTATAGTGAAGCGATTTTCCACATATCTGGCCTCTGACTTGGACTAATAGCATTGATTGATGGTTTGTATCAAAATATATACAGCGGAACATGAAGTAGTATCATCCATCTGGTTGACCTTCCACCTTTTGTACTTTAATAAGACATCAGACCTTTTTTGAATCAATAAATCAGTTAAGAGATATAGTGTGTTACTAAGTGCTACCAATATAAAAAGTATTATAAAGTTCCTTATTCATGTTGAGGTATTATTAGCCTGCTACAACTATATTACAACTATCCCGAGGGTCAGAATGCCATGGGCTAATGTGTAGTCCACTTCAC